AAAAAGTACGGTTTGAAAGATACGTTATGACTAGGATTAAGAAATACTTCGGTAGTTCGAACACATAAAAATAAAAATTAACGAAGAAAGAGTGACATAGGCAATTAACAATGCAAGATTCAGATTCAGAGTCGGCAATCGATGGCCCTGAACGTAAATTTATTAATTTACTAACCAGATTAGCGATACATTGAAGATTACTCAAACTAAATATTGTCCATGCATCACTATCTACACGTGCGGTACGAAGATTTGTTAATGCGTAGTCGTGGCCAGTGTCTGCAACATTTCGTCTCACCATATTTTAATCGGTGCCGTTACGTGAAATAAAATATGTATCATCATCATCATCATCATCATCATCATCATCATACAGCCCTTCACAAGTCCACTGCTGAACATAGGCCTCCCCCAAGTAATGCCACAAAGCACGGTCCTGAGCCACCTGCATTCATCGACTTCCTGCATATCTTACCAGGTCATCACTCCATTTAGTGGGGGGTCGCCCTGCACTACGCCTACCGGTACGAGGCTGCCACTCGAGAACCTTTCTTCCCCATCGCTTATCGGTTCTTCGAGCTATATGGCCGGCCCATTGCCACTTCAGCTTACTAATCCGTTGGGCTATGTCGGTCACTCTGGTTTTACTGCGGATATCCTCATTTCTGAGTCTATCACGCAGAGAAACTCCGAGCATAGCCCTCTCCATAGCTCGCTGAGCGACCTTGAGCGTCCTCATACGGCCAGCAGTGAAGGACCACGTCTCAAATCCGTAAGTCATCACTGGCACCACGCACTGGTTGTACAATCTAGTTTTTAGAGATTGAGGTATACCTGACGAGAAGATATGTCGTAATTTCCCGAACGCTGCCCAGCCGAGTTGAATCCGTCGATTGACCTCTCGGTCGAAGTTGGACTTACCTAGTCGGACTATTTGTCCCAGGTAAACGTACTCGTCAACAACTTCGAGCATAGTGCTCCCAACAACTACCAGCATAGGTGTGACATGGACATTAAACATCTTTGTTTTGTCCATGTTCATCTTAAGACCTATCCGTTGGGAGGCACTATTGAGGTCATTGAGCATAGTGCTTAAGTCTTCCAGCGATTCTGCCATAAGGACTATATCGTCGTCAAGTCGAATGTGAGTGATGTACTCACCATTGATGTTAATACCGTATCCTTTGTAGTCCAGTAGCTTGAAAACGTCTTCCAATGCAGCGGTGAAGAGTTTCGGGGATATAACGTCACCCTGTCTTACACCTCTCTGCAGTTGGATAGGTTTCGAGCTCTGGTTCTGTACTCGAATAGCCACCGTAGCTCTACTGTACAAACACTTCAGCACTTCGATATACCGACAGTCAACTTGGCACCGCTGAAGGGACTGTAGCACCGCCCAAATTTCGACGGAATCATAGGCTTTCTCATATTCCACATACGCCAGGCAAAGTGGCAGATTGTACTCTTCAGTCTTCTGTACAATCTGCCGCAGGGTATGTATGTGGTCTATGGTACTGAAGCCTTTTCGGAAACCGGCTTGTTCGGGAGGCTGGAAGTCGTCGAGTCAGCGTGCGAGACGATTCGTAATGACTCTCGAAAACAGCACGTAGACGCGGCTCAGAAGGGAAATCGGTCTGTAGTTCTTCAAGAAAGCGTTGTTGCCTTTCTTGAAGAACAAGAATTTCCGCACCGCACTTCTGCTCCACGCCTCTGGAGTAGTGCCACCATGGAGGACGGAATTGAAGAGCTTCTGAAGGACTTCAAGTACCGGTGTTCCACCCGCTTTCAGAAGCTCCGCTGTAATTCCATCCTCGCCTGGGGCCCTGCAGTTTTTAAGGTGCTGGAGAGCCATTCTAATCTCGCTCAGACTGACGTCCGGGATATCATCGGAATAGTGTCGGATAAGACTTGCTCTTGGATCGTTACTCACACTTGCGTGTGGCTCCAACGATGATGTGTACAGCTGCCCATAGAACCTCTCAATCTCACTCAAAATCTCAGGTGTCCCGGAAACGATGCTGCCACACTCAGTCTTCAGCTTTGACAGTTGGCTCTTACTGGCAGACAGATCTCTGGCAAAGACTTTGGAGCCCTGGTTCCGCTCGATCGCTTCTTTAATACGAGCACTATTAAAGTTGCGTAAGTCTCGCCGCATGCATTTGGAGATCTGTCTGTTCAGTTGCCAGTATGCTGTCAAATCTGTTGACGATTGCAGCCTCATCTTCCGTCTAACAGCCATGAGATTAAGACTGTGATCGGAGAGTTTTTGTGTTCTTCTGTGGCGGGTCTTGCAGAACTTAGCTCCGACCGCATGGACAGTTTCCACGAGCTTGTCATTCATATCGTCCACTGCATTGCAATCTTGTAAGGCACAGAAAGCGGTTACGTAACTCCAGCTGAAAGTTTTCGGGATTCTGGATTAGAGCACGAGAGGCACGGAGCGTTGACTTCATTAGACGAGACCTCTCCAACTTAACATTTAGGTTCAGTGTGCCTCTAACCATTCGGTGATCTGCCAGTTTTCACCCTTGCGATCACTGAGACATCACTGAACAGTTGGCGTCTGGTCGTCATAATGAAGTCAATCTCATTTTTTCTCGAAACGTTGGGGCTCGACCAGGTCCACTTCCTGTGGGGCCGCTTCTGGAAGAAAGAGTTCATCATAAAGAGTCCCTCTTTCTCCATAAAGTCGGCCAGCTGCTGGCCCCTTCGGTTCCGTTGCCCTACTCCAAATTTCCCTAACTTCAGCTCACCGTTTTCTCTTGTGCCGAGTTTTGCGTTGAAGTCTCCCATCAACACCGTGTAGTGGGTTTTGGAGGAAAGCATGGCTTTGGAAATATCCTCATACATTTCCTCCACCTCCTCATCGGGATGTGCCGAGGTTGGTACGTAAACCTGTATGACCTTCAGCGAATACCGTTTGGTGATTCTGAGTATCAGGTACGCGACCCTCGTCGACACACTCCCAATCTTTACAACGTTGTTGACGAGAGACTTATGGACGATAAATCCGACACCTCCTTGGGACAGATGGTCGCCCTCCCTGTGAAAGAATAAATTGGCAGATTCGAGAATCACCGTGTCCTCCCCCTCTCTTCGGACCTCGGATAATCCTATAATATTCCAGCGCAACTTGTCTATCTCTTCTTCAAGCTCCAGGATCTTCTCGTCAGTCCTCAGAGTGCGTGCGTTAAATGTTGCCAGGTCGAGTCGTCGTAGGTGGCAACCGAACCTCCACCGGAGATTCTTAGCACTCCCTGCCCCGCCGTTACCATGGTCGCCACCGTAACCAGGAATAGCGGGGCCGCCGGGGACTGGGGGCCGTCTATTTGTGTAATTGTTCGTGGGAGGTATATTGCCATAGTTGCCACGCTTGGCGAGCGGGTTGGCAACCGCAGTTTTTTTTTTGTCATACAGTTGCTGTTATCAGGAAGATGCTACTGCCCATCTCCTGCCTGTTTCCCTCTGTAGCCTTCTACGACACCCACGGGAAGATATGGGGTAGTGTATATTCTTAACCGCCACTACACAGTCGAAAAATATGTATAAGCATAAAAAAATGTGCCCTTAACCGAGAAAACATGTATGCGTTGATATATGGATATAAAATAAGGTTGAGAGTTGTGTTAGAATCCCACCAAATGGAAGTCCGTAGTCTCTGCCTACCCAAATGCGTGACAAGTGTGCGAGTTAATTACGTACATAATATATGTAAACTACTTAACAGAACACCTAATGGTAAGTAACTAGCGTGGCATTTGAACACCTGCAACCAATAACAGACAAAGAAAGCAACAGATGCGTTTTCCTCACGCCTGAGGTGTAAACTAAAATTCTTCACAACCTTTTTCTCGTAGAATAAGGGTGTCAAACGAGCACACAGTCCACCAGATGGTAAGTGGATGCGGTGGCCCATGGACATCTACATCTGTCTTTGATTAAGAATCAAAATGCAGATGCATTGTCCATCCCTAAGGCCTAAGACTTAATAAGTCAATTCAGTAAAATGGGCACCACGGTTCCCCACACTCACCATACGAAACACTACTTAAGATACTATTTTACGCTGGTATTCTGTGAGAGCGTGGTCCACCCTCGGTCGAGCCGACCCGTTTGTGTTACAACTATAAAATAACTGCTGCACGACGTAAAAAACCTGTAATTATACTAGCTCTCCAATACAGTCTCCATAACCCTCAAACCGGAATATAGCAATAAATACATTACTGCTTTGGTGCAAAAATAAGCAAGAAGTTGTTATCTATCCAGACAGACTCTACGGTGGGAAAGACTCTCAACATTCTATACCTTACAAGTCTTGGGAGAAACCTACGTCTTGACGAAAATAAGCTAAGGCTTAAGTGGCTAAGCGTTTGGCTGTAACGCTGGAGGCCATGGGTTCGAATCCCTCACGGAAAAACTATTTGTAAATGCGATGCAACAACTATTTATATTTTTTTTATAGAAGAGGGGGCAAACGAGCATACGGCTAATACCATATACCTAATGGTTAATAACAACTGCAACACCAGGGGAATGGCAGGTGAATTGCTGGCCTTTTAGAAAGGAGTAAGCTCTTTTCTTGAAGGTCTCTAAGTCGTATCGGTCCGGAAAAATCGCCGGTGGTAAACAATTCCACTGATATCGAAAGGATCCAATTACATTAATGAAATTATGTTAATGTTTTTATACAGCCTCGTTGGTCTAGAGGTTGTAGACGCGACTGTTATCTCGTCATGTAGTTCCGGGTTCGAATCCCGGATCGGACCAAAATCTAATTGGTTTGTTCTGACATGAAATTCTCCGTAGCAGCCTGGAGTCACAGATTTGGAGGTGACTTACGTGCCTTAGAAAGTAAGTAAAGCCCTTGGTCCTGCACCCGATCTGACTATGAGAATGAGGAATAGAAAGTGCAGCTGAGCTTGCACACATACTCGTGCATTATAATCCTATCCTGCACTGTGTAAGACGTTAACATTAAAGTTTAAAAAAATACTAACCATCTGTTCGAAGGGAATGTTTAGTTCCTGCAACGTACGCATCAGCTTAGCAGCATTCTGATAATGTACATTGTCGTCCGCGTTTCCGTGCATCAGATAAAAATCGTGTCCTCGAAGCTTCTCCGCCAGAAGCGTTACATCACCCGCTTGGTACCCGGCAAGGTTGTCCTCAGGAGTAGGCAAGCCCATGTAGCGTTCAGTGTACATCGTGTCTGTAGTAATGATAAAAATGATATAATATTTCTCTATCTATTTCTACTTGTAGATAAAAATTGTGTACGATTCTGTGTAAGATTTTCGTCTAATCTGTTAAGGATTTTAAATCTCTAAAAAACTTACTGTAGTAAAGCCAAGACGTAACGGGAGCACCGGAGACACCGCACTGGAAGAGGTGCTCGTCATCGTGCAGCAAAGTCAAGAGCGTCGCGTAACCGCCGTAACTGTGGCCCCATATGCCCACTCGCTCGCGGTCGATGAACCCGTAACGGTCGAGTACTTGCCTATAATAATCATTGAAATATAATCTTAATGCATATATTGCACACTGCGCTCAATTTGCTTGTATGGCGGCCCTTTTGTTGCTTGCGTAACAGATTAAGAACTACGTTCGTAGTTCCAATTTTAAATTCCTATACGTAATTTGGGCCCCCAATCGATTAAATAAAAAGCCAAAACTAAAGTTTAGCCACAAATATTCTTTGCGCTTTGTATTGCAATACAAGTAGATTTACGAGCATACATTTAAAAGTCTTTGCCTTTTGACAAGGTTTGAAGTATTTTTATTCGATTTACATTATTTTAGAAGAGCAAACCGGCCTTTTTGCTTTCGCGGAGGTACCGCCACTGATTTGATTGTGGGACAACGCGTTAACAATGATGTTGCCAACAGTTAAACTAGGTCTCCACCAGATTGTAAAACCACCAGAAAATCGCTAACATATAGCGGACCCTACTTTTATAATCCCTAAATTTTCCACCAGACAAATTTTTGTTTACTACGAAAGACAAGTGGTAAAATTAAAAATGTTGTACCATCGACTTCAATATAGTTAAAATGAGAACATCGTCAATGTATTCGAAGTCAATTAAATACGCATCATTAAAGATAAGTCAAAAACTATTGATCGGATCTTGGACCACACGAGAAGTACCAGCTTTGAGATAAAAAAGAATCATCAAAATCTGTTCACCTAGAGAAAAGTTACTAGGTAACATTAACAATAATTATTATAATTAATATTAAAAAAACATACAGTCGAATTGAATACCTCCTGCTTTTTGAAGTCGGTAAAACAATAGGTAAATTAGTAATAGGTTACCTTTTATTACATATTGTGCTATTGTGCAACAAAATATTAAATTTCTATGTAAATAATATTTAGGGCGCGGACCGCGAACTCAAAAAGGTCGTGGGTTCGAATCCGCCATTCGACTACTGGCGTGAACCACTCGTAACACAAGCAATTTAAGCTTATCACGAGTGGTTAAAGGGGAATATTAGTAATGTTTATAGCATTGAAATAATACTAGTTTTTACGGAATTTATCGCGTATATTTAACTTTTTAAATACCCGACGTTTCGAACGCTTTACAGCACTCATGGTTACGGTCAAAATTTGAAAGTTGAAGAATGCGGATTAAGAATGGGTGAGTTAACCGTCAAATGCCTTTTGTACGCCGATGATCAAGTTATCCTTGCGTCGTCGGTGGCCGAGTTGCAAATGATGGTTACATTAATGAACAGATCATTAAAAGAAAGGGGTATGAAAGAACGCAGTAAGACGAAGGTTATGGTTTTTGAAAGAGAAGAAAGTAAAACGATTTGTGAAATAAAAACAGAAGGGGAGTTGATCGAGCAAGTAGATGAGTTTGTATATTTGGGCTGCGTATTTAGCAGGGATGGGAGATATGATAAGGATATAGAACGACGAGTGAATGCAGGAAATAGAGTAAATGGGGCCCTGCACTCTATTGTGAAGTCAAAATGTGTAATGTGTAGTGTTCGCGTAAATATAAGAAATCATTATGTTTATAGCATTGTTAATATTCTTTTTTTTAAACAATGAAACAACATACAACTACTAAATCAGCAAGTGGCGTGGCGCAGTAGCTTTGCAATGAGTTCCAGCGCTGAGGGCCGTGGGTTCATATCCTGCACGGAACAAGAATTTGTATGGCCTACAAGTAATTGTTCCGGGTCTGGATGTTTGTCCTTATGAATATAGGAGAAAATCTTGGTGTGGAGGTAACGTATAAAAAATAAACATATTATTTGATCAACTGATATTTTAAATTAAATCGTCTTCTTCAGACGAATCATTTTTGTCGGCACCATCATCATCCTTACAACTGTACAACAAAATTTGCATTTCGCTACTTGACCCATAGTACCTTCAATCATGTAGAGCTAATCCAATCAAAAAATGGGTCTTGAAGCCAAGAATCTCGAAATTTTTGCGCATACTGTGGTTTCGGCATAGTGACATATGAACTCGCGGAAAAAGTATGACACTGAGTTAATTGATCAATTTATGAGCTATACGAGTACGAGGAATCTCAGCGAATAGTGTAGCCCCTGGAATGGATCGTCTAACGTCACGTCACGTCTGTCAAATCAGCATTATCTACACAGAAAAAGTAAATACTTATGATATGAAGTAGAAATATATTTCGCAATGTATAAATGGCTTAGTGTTTGTGTGATCATCGTTCCACTAATTGATACAGAATTCTACTGTACCACTAGAAAAACACCACTAGCCACTAAAAGCGATATTTCTCCACTAGAATGATAGGAGGATAGGATCGAAACAACCAGTTTTAGTGGAAAGTCGACTTTTTAATTCATCATTAAGCGCTCTCAGGGATTAACTTGTCAAAACATGCTATGATTAAGTTTAGAACGTCGATTTTATTGTAGAAAGTTGATAATGTTTGCATGCTGGAGTTAGGGGTGATAGAAAACACCAATTTTATAACTTAGGTACCTACTCATACTAGGAAAGTTAAAGCTCTTCCCTCTCGCTGCATACTGCAGGTAGGTATCCACGCATAATGGAGTTTTGATTTTGATGAAATTCTCCATCATTATCACCACAGCCTATCAAAGTTCTGTGCTAATTATATTGGCCATATTTACCATAGTTACCACGATTGCCATAGGCTTCCACTCCGTTCACATGTTACACCCTATTTTTTCCAGACGGAAAAAAGTCACCAGTATAGTCTCTAAGTGCAAAACTTACTTTAATTACAAGAATATTACGATAAAATATAAAAAAGATACTTTAAAATCTAAACCTGTACACTTCAATGTCTTTTTTTACTTGTATTTTTTAGCTCGTTGTTTTCTTAATTATTTTATATGATTATTTTTAAAATATTAATAAATCAGCGCGAACAAACGATCACCGACCAATATTCTAATAGAAACACTTACAACAACAAAACTTTTATTTTACCTTAATATAACAAAGTGGTCTTCTATTTCGACGGTTCCCAAAGCATTATTGAGAGAATACAAAATATCTTGACCGTTTAGTCCGGCACCGCGGCCGTCCGCCAACATGTATATTGTGTTTCGACTCGTCGTCATATACGAGTGGTAACCTAAAGTAAATAACATATACTACTTATAAATAGTAATACAAATGAATAAAACAATGACAGTTTCAAAATAAGTATTAAGTTAAAAAAAGGAAATTTTATAAAAAACGTTTTAACTTCATATTTTTACATTCATTCATTTATTTATTATGACCCTTCACAAGACCACGGCTGAGCACAGGCCTCCTCTAAAGAATGCCACAAAGCAGGGAAGTTTTTTGAATTTTCTACAAAATGATCTGCCAAATTCTGATTCTGCCAATCCCACTGGCTACAAAATGATGGTTGTCCTGCACATTATGCTGCAAACGTCCGTGTGTATTTAAATGCCACGTATCCAAATAAATGGATTGGTCGTTTAGGTCCCATTTTGTGGCCTCCGCGATACCCGAACTTGAATCCACTAGATTTTTTTTACTGGGGCTGTGTAAAAGAAAAGGTGTACTTCAAGCCTATTTCAAGTTTGAAGGAATTGCGCAGTCGTGTGCAGGAGGCACGACTTCTTAGAAGAGCATTTATTAGAAGACGTCGAACTTGTATCAGAGTCGGTGGCAGGCAATTCGATCCGTAATCGTGAAACACCATCCATCGATTTCCTGCACCTCTTTCCAGGTCGTCACACCATTTAGTTGGGGTTGCCTACACTTCGCCTACCAATACGAAGCTGCCACTCGAGACCCTTTTCCCCCCATCGATTGTCGGTTCTTTGAGCTATATGGATCTGTTGGAGTAACCACCATCTAGTAGAGGCCCGCCCTACCCTTCGCTTATACGCCTAGCACTTCCACCGCAGAACTAACAACCCATTGATTGGGATCGAGCTATATGGCCGACCCATTACTACTTGTTGTCGGTTCTACTGCGGATATCCTCATTTCTAATTCTATCACGCAGAGAAAATTCGAGCAGTCATAGCTCGCTGAAAGACCTTCAGTTCCTCATAAGGCCAGCAGTAAAGGTCCACGTCTCAGATCCATATTTGATCACTAGCTACGCGTACTTGTTGTACAATCTTGTTTTCAAGCTTTGAGGATATAAGTGACGAGAAGATGTGTCGTAATCTCAATACTGCTGCCCGACTGAGTTGAGTCCGCTTATTGACCTCTCGGTTGAATTTGGATTTACCATGTCGGTCAATTCGTCCTAGGTAAACATGCTCGTCGACAACTTCGAGTAGTTAGTGCTCCTAACAACTGACATGGGTGTGACATGGACATTACATATGACCTTTATTTTGTTCATGTTCAGTTTAAGACCTATCCGTTGGAACACTATGCTCAATAGTGTCTATTATTGAGCATAGTGTTGAGGTTCTCCAGCGATTCTGCCACAAGGACTTTATCGTAAATCGAAGGTGAGTGATGTACTCGTCATTGATTTTAATACCGTATCCATTTCAGTCAAGTAGCCCTACTGTACAAACCGCCCAAATTTCGACGGAATCAAAAGCTTTCCCATAGTCCACATACGCAAAACAAAGTGACAAATTGTTCTCTTCGTATGTACTAGTCTTTTCTAAAACCGGCTTGTTCAGGATGCTGGAAATAGTCGAGTCTGCGTGGTGCCGATTAATAAAGACTCTCGAAAACAGCACGTAGTTTCAGCAAGTGGGTCGGCAACGGTATTTTTATTATTATTAAGTTTTTACCAGGAAAATGGTGCTGGCCATCTCTTGTTCCAGCTCACCTCTGTCTCTTCTTACGACACCTACGGTATGCTAAACGAAAATTAAATTATAACGTAACGTAAAGGAGCCATTCGGTCTGATGAAACAACACTATCTTAAGTAATAAAGATATTAATAGTTATATTGCAACCATTCCGCTAAATTAAATACCGCTAAATTAATACTACTTCCAACACGGAGTAGTGTTGCTGGGATTGGTGGTGACGGGATTGGTGCACGCAATTGAGGGAGGGCGAGAGGTGCTCTTCAAACTAGGGAAGACACATCATTTTATTTAATTTGGCGGATGGTTGCAAAATAACTATTAATATCTTTATTATAATGGATTTCCGCAAAGTAACGTCTGATTCTATCAATTAACTATCCTAAGTACTCTAAAACTGCAACTGTTTACCAGAGACGGAGTTGGCTCATAACTTTACACAATTAATTACGGAGATGGACAAGTATCTACCGACACCTTGAACTTCAATATCTGTCTTGCCTACAATTTTCAGAAATTTAGAAATGCATAGGCAAGTGAAAATATTTTATCTGTTAGAAGTTAGTGTGTATTAATGGTGATAGTGAATTGACTGGTATTTCACCTGATGGTAAGTGGTGATTAAAGAAAGTAAACGCACTGACTTAGCTTAATCAAAAACCTATTCGCTCTTGCAATAAAGAAATCCAAATATGTAAAATTTACATTATATGGCACTTACCAACAGTAAACGTATCATAAACGGTATTAGTATTCGGTCCTGAATACACGTAGTACACCATAGGGTATTTAGAACTGGTATTGTTAATGTCCAAACCGGGAGGAAGCCATAGTCGAACAGGCGCTGGGTGGCCATTTGCCAAGGGCACTGTGAATATCATGCTATTAGGGCGAATCTTGTCCTCTAAGCGTGCACGTACAACGGCATTGTCTTCCCAAGTTTTTAGTATGCGACGATTCTGCAAAAAATATAATTTTCAAGTACAACTAACTCAAGTAACTATTTTTATTAAAATTGTCGGGTGGCAGCTTCATAATAATAATGTCCTCCAGACCGAATCTCAGCCACGGCAGCCAGCCTCAATGGAGACTAGCCATCGGCGCAGGATGGGATTATTGTGCCCTAATTTTTGCGCAAGGTGCACTCTCTATTCCCTAACTCTCATAATCCAATGGGACGGTAAACCGACACGACAAGAGATAGATCAGGCGCAGGTTCAACGGCTTTACGTGCTTTCCAAGGCATGGGAGTGAGACATCGCCAACTTCTTGACTCCGGGCAGCTGCTAAGAATTTCTTGACGGAAAAACACAATAATTAATTTTTGGCTCGACCCAGGATTCCAACCCGGGGCCTCATGATCAGCAGTCACACTAATACAACCACTAGACCAACAAGCCAGTCAAAAGGTAGCTGCATGCTACGTAAGCGTAGTGTAGTGTGGCATGCATAGTGTGGTGTAGTGAAGGCAGTAGCAATGCAGGAATTCGATGGCTGCAAGTGGCTCAGGACCGTGCTCTGTGACATTCCTTCTAGAGAAAGGCCTTCCTCATAGATGGCCTTCTTTATAGATAACCTCATCATAAAAACGTAAAAGTCTTTTGCAAGACATTATGCTTCTATCGTTCCAGAGTTCTTAGTCTATATATAATATATACCGTATGACAGCCTCATAGCCGGTCTATGTATTATGTGTACTTGACTATTTATTAAGAGTGGGTTGCCACACCTTTTCTGATAACAACGAAATAATAACAATAAAAACTGCAGTAGCCAACCGGTCTACCAGGCGTGGCAAAATGGCAAATATATTCCCTGTAAAGTATACTACGTGGAAGGCCTATGTTTAACAGTAGACTTTTAATAGTCAATAAGGAATGAATAGAAGGCAATGAGATTTGAGGCGGAGGTTTCTCACCAGAGGGTCGAAGATGTAGGTGGCGGAGGGCTCGTCGGTGGAGGAGCAGGTGATGGTGAGGTAGGAGCCGGCGCGGCTGGCGGTGGCCGTGGCCCAGGTGCAGCGGCCGCCGCCCGGAAGCTGGATGTCGCAGCTGAGGCAACCCGAATCCGCGCCCGCTACCTCCACCCGTGACTGCCACGGCGCGCCTTCCACCGTACGCGTATAGTAGCTGCGGCGAACGTACACCAAAGAGTTATTGTTATTACGATTCGCCAATAAATGCAGATAAATGTCTGAGACCATACAGCCTAGTCAGATTTATATTTTATTCACAAAACTCTTCACATTTTGCTGATACATCACATTGCAAAATTCTTAGGACATCTTAGCGACAAATTGACACAGTGTTGTGGTAACGCATTGATGACTATAATATATCAACTATGATAACTATAATATATCAACGCCCATATGCGAATAAAACAGCCTAACTATTATATCACCTTCGAAGCACTAGTTACGTCGTTTTCACTAATAATAGTTCACATGGTCAGACATTTAATACACAAAATCGGGTAACTTTTACGTATCAAAATATTTTCAAACCATAATTCAAACGTTAAAACTGCAGCAGCAATCCGCTGGCGGTAAGTTACCGCCAAAGCTCCGTACACCAATGAGTATAACACTTGAACTATGGAGGGTAGAGGTAAGAACTATCTCTGTGTACGAAACTCTCTCTCTGTCCATACAACTGCTACATTCATACCATACCCGTACGTAGATAAGCGCCATACTGAAAGGTTTTTGAATTGTTATTACAGCTAGACAGTTTTTCATCTTGTCCCCCACATAAAATAGTCCTCTTTACTAATACCCTCAAAAACTTGAAAGTTAAGGTAGTTGTTGATGTTGTTACGATTCACCAATTAAGACAGGCAAATGTCTTAAACCATACAGCCTAGTATGACATGTTTTATATTCACAAAAATCTTCAAAATAAGCTGATGCGAGACATCACAAAGTTTTTGGCAGATTTTGACGACAGCTTAACCCAGCAGATACAGTGGCGAAGCTAGGGCTCCAAACTAGGGCAAGCCCAAGATATGATTTTGTTGTTTTTAGCAGTTTAATAAAAATACACCAATCTTGAGCAGTCTACACTCTTTAGTTTCATATTCAGTGCTGTCAAGGACGTGTTTAACAAAGCACACAGAAAGCATACTACCGCTAGATAGATTGTATAACATATGCAATTGCACACCTTCGGTGGTTTTGAAAAGAGCCGTTTGGGTTTGTTTGAGATATTTACAAACAATACAATACATGAACAAAAGAAAAGCATGAAAAAAGTACAAACAAACTATGTACAAAGTTAAAAAAGGGACGCCTGGCAGATGTGAAACCTCGAAATTATTTTGTTTAAGTTACATGCAAAAAAGAACAGATTACGATAGGAATTAGATAGTTATAATGAGAAGATAAAGCTTTGCTAATTTTGTACCATAAAATAATGACTTTATTATACAATTATTCATTTTCAATTTATAATAAACCGTACAAAATGATATTCAATTCATAATAAACCGTACAAAATGATATTTTTTAACTCATATGGTAATATAAATATTAAATTAGCCGATAGCGTATTTGTGCCATCTAGCGTAATCTTTAGGTACCTTCGTGAGAATCAACCAATTTTTGTTCGATAAAATGACTTTACCTATAGAATTAAGTAGATGGCGCTATTAAAATTTTATAGACTGGAAATAACTAGTTCTTTAAAAATCTCAATACATTTTTCTGTATTCTTTTGATTTATATCATTAAAATTTGGGCTTCACGTTAAAAAAGATTGTGACACTTATTTCCTATAAAATTAAACCTACGTGTCTCATATTTTATGCTGGTGTTCAAATTGATATTTTTAATTCGTATGGTAATATAAATATTGAGTTATTAAACTTTTAAATACGCTTAACTTAATTAAACTTTAATACTAAAGAGTCCTGTACCTATATTTAAAGTATGAAGAAATGTTTATTGAATATTAAAATTCATTTTTAAAAAATTTTACCTTTTCCTCGCCGATTAGCACTTCAACACACTTATATTCATCACAATCAACACTATTATCCTCCCATTTTCACTTAAAATCTTTGAAAAAGCATAAATTTTTAACAAACACAACAAAAACAAACATAAACATTGAAATGTGAAGTGAACTTGCATACGAATGGCCCGCACCCCATTCGCTAGTCGCTAACGCACTCCTAAACAACTTCAGGGCAAAGCCAGGCTTGTGGCTCAATAGTAATTGCTATATAAACATTTCGTAGTTATATTTCATTAGAGAACATTTTGCCACAGGTTAGAAAGGGAGCGATCGTCTTCTCGAAAGCCCGGTAAAAAGCCTACGCGTGCAAGGGAGACAACGAATCGCTTAATTCAACTCTCCTTATGTGTATGACAGCAGTATTCCTAAGGCTACGAGGTCGAACAGAGCGCGCGGGAAATTTGAAATAGTTTAAAACAGTTTACGAGTTATTTTATTACTTGATATTATTGATTGATTCAGCTTGATAAGGCAAGCTGGGCTTCTGGGCTTCTATAGAGGCTTCACCACTGAGCAGATAGTTGATGACGACAGTATCTTAAGGCGCCTATGTCGATAAAAAGTAGGATTCCGTCTGGGTATGTACGACCCTCTTATATATTTCTGCCACCAAACAGCAATATGTGCACTGCTGTGTTCCAGTCTGAACAGAAACTGCAGCCTTTTTTGTTTGAAGTCAAATCCATTATAAATTTATTGACATTTTTTGTTTCTCTATTAACACGTTAATTGTGGTGTCTGTGTAAAATAAAATGCAAAAAAGGCTATAACCATGTAAAAAAACCTTTTTAACCCTGTAAAAAAAATTTGCTATAAACACTAAATTTAAATACTCACTATGCTAAATTCACCTCATCCATTCCAACATAATTGTTCACTGTGGAAGCACCAGGGGTGATAGAGCTCGATACTATCTCACCGTTGACACGTATACTGACATATAAATGTTGCCATATCTTTCCATCAGCTTGCTCAAGCGACCAACGGGTAGAGACAAAGAAGTCCCCGTTGCTACTGAAGCGAGGTAACGCAATGGGCACCCAACCGTTTGGTTGCTCACGATGTTCTTCCTACAATCGTGCAAAATACAAGTAATTTAATAAAGATATATAATATCTCATCAATTTTCAAGAGCACTTTTTAGTTTAATATATTTCACAGTTATCTACCGGAAACCAATATCACAACCAAAGTAACACCCCGATTGTTCGAATTGCCAGTTAAATGGACGGCTAGGTTTTAGTTACTTTTCGTAGAAGTAGGGTGACACAGCCCCTCTGATAGTAAATAGAGAATGTGGCCCATAGAACTATACGTGGAAGAGCCACACTACAGCTGTATTTTGGTTGTAGCACGATTGAGTCGGCTCGACCGGGGTAGGACCAAGTTCTCTCAGAATACCAACATAAAATAGCATAGGTAACAACGCAACTGCATTTTGATTCTTAATCGAGAATTACTATATATATCTATGGGCAACATCGTCCACTTACCATCAGGTGGACTGTGTGCTCGTTTGCCTTATTCTATAAAAAAAGAAAATTACGTCCATCATCGACTTAGAATCAAAATCCAAAGGTGCCATAATTAATGCGTTAGTCGTAACTTGAAATTTATTCGATCTAATCCACTTTCGTTGATTTAAGTGTAAGATACGTTGAACTTGAACTGTACTTGTCAATATCTATTTTTTATTACAACAATACCTAGACTTAAAATATCAATAAAGTGGCTGATTGAGGATTGGAGACAACACCTTGTATATTAGCTGTTAATTTTAATCGCAGTGAAAGATAAATAAACACATATATCTGAGCACTTGTAGAATTTACCTCGCAAACGCCAGTTACGACGCTGCATATTCTCAACACGGTGTAATTTTGCCGCCTGTTTAACCAATGTGCAGCTATTTCAGTTGCTGTGGGCCATACCACACCGCCCAAAATATGGTCTGCAGTTACAATAGATGGCGATTCTAATGTTTCCCATCGTACCACATTGGTTTCTACAAGGTTCGTCAAATTGACAACACGTAGTTCCACCGTTGGGTTAGTTCGACCGACCTGTAACATTATACTCGAATATTTCACCAACCTAAAGTATTAGTTAGAGATGACAGGGGGAATGTGAAGAGTCAACCCTTCACACACACTAATATAGGTATGCTTTAATGCTCTAATATCAATTAGTACTTAGTTCAATTTAAACAGAAAATTCTCCATTTTATCGATTACAGGCTTAAATCCTTAAAAATAAATTACATTGATTCTTAATTAAATTGTTAAAAATATTTGCAATGAGAGATTTTCTCATTTAAGTCAACAGTGTGTAACAACATTTTTAGTTATTATTAACAATATTTTCATTCTAAAACGAGATTTAATTGTTTCAAAAATAACTGAATTAAGCCTAAAATCAATTAAGCCTCTAGCATTTACCTTGGGGTATTTTAAGTCTACGAGTTCAGGGTAGAGATCATCAGGGTCACTCTTGTCCACGTAGTAATAATAGGAGTAGCTTTCGACCTCGGTATCATTAAAGCTTGCAAAAGCTAAGTACGAACCGTCCGTAGAGAACCATGTCGCCTGTCCAGTGTACATGACATCCTCTGTAATTAAAGATCGTAAAACATACATAAGGTTTAATAGTTTTTTTTTTTTATTTATAAGCATCTTTAACAATGTTTTGAAAACAATCTTCAGCCTGAGAGTCTACTACAGAGCACAGGCATCAGTTAGAAGGACCTGCTTCATAACAAGAGTTGGCGATCGCCGTCTCTCACTTCGCGCTACTAACTCTGCTGCCTGTCATAGAACCCGCTATTTTTCAGTTTTATTCAAGTTTGTTATCTTTACGTGGTAGAATCACACTGCAGCTATGCTACACGTTGCTTCTTTTTATAAGAGAGTGTGATAAACGAGCACACAGTCCATCTGATGGTAAGTGGTTGCTGTGACTCGTAGATATCTACGTCTATCGTCGATAACGAATCAAAATGCAGATGCATTGTCACCCGTGAGGACTAATATGTAATGTCTCGTTTCCAGTAAAATAGGTTTCCTGTTCTCTACACTCACCATAGGAAACAGAGCAGCGTTGAGCTGCTATTTTACGCTGGTGTTCTGTGAGAGTGTATTCCTTCTCCGGTCGAGCCGACCCATTCGTGCAACAACTATGCTACTAATATAGCTGCAGCATGACTACAACGTTTTACTGCAGCTGCAACACGTATACGGCTCAACCGGCGTAGAACCACTCTTTCACAAGAATATCAGCGAAACAGCAGAATATTTATATCATTGTGTTTCGTATAGTGAGTGTAGAAAAACCGGAGACCGTTTTACTGGTAACGAAGAATTTTATCTTAGTCTATAGGCTCAGGGGTGACAACGCATCTGCATTTTAATTCTCAATTGATGCTAGATTATATGTCTATGGGTCATAGCATCCACTTATTATCAGGTGACCTTGTGTTTGTTACCCTTATTATATAAAAAGACAAGATCAATCAATCTACCTAATGAAAAATTTTATACACAACTGAAAATATTTACAATATTTATCAACATTATTCAGCTAATGATACACCCACATATAAATTTAAACGTTACCTTCATTAGTAGATACTCTCTCTGTATCATTGACATACATTAAATAAACGAGGAAAATACGAAAAATGAAGAGTAGTTATATCGTGCGGGATTTCAACAAGAACCCCGCTAGGCTAACGCTTACCTATAGCTACTCGCTATCGATAACAACCAACTCTAATCATATAAATATTCTTTCAGACTAATAATTAAACTTCTAAAAAAGTAAAAAACGGACTTCCGAGAACTAACAAGAAGTTATCATTGAAATCGGTCAAGTGGTAAAGGAATATCCTTTACTAAAGTCAGTGAAAAGTAAATGCTTGTGGACACCACGTCTTCAAAATATTTATTTACAACGGGCGCTTAGTTCCTGAGCTGCCACAGCTCTGTCTAGCACGCCATATTAAATTTACACTGAAAGACGTCAGTTTAATATAACCATCGTCATTTTAATATGATCTCTGACATGAGCATCGGTGAAGCGCGGTCTTTGACAATCCTCTTACTCCCCAGATAATGCGGAGGTTATAAAACCACATACAATTTACAAATAATTTTTTTTATTAAATTTTTTTTTCATTGGTCGAGTTTTCTGAAAAATAATATTTCTATACGTTTGAATACTGATTCTGATAATGTACTTAACGGGAACCACAGGGCTTTTGTTACATTTTATATACATATATTAAATTTTTTGTCTGTCTGTCTATCTGTTCGTTCCAGCTAATCTCTGATATAGCTGGACCGATTTTGACGAGACTTTCACTGGCAGACAGCTGATGCTAGAAGAAGTAACTTAGGCTATTTTTACTTAGGCTACTAGGAAGTAACTTAGGCTGAAAAAGAACAAGGGTTTCGCGCAAAAGAAAAATAAAACCAATGAAATAAATCATAATAAAATCCACGCGGACAAATTCGTGGGAACAGCTAGTATAGAATAAAAGTTACAGATGTAAGATACTTATCCAGATGTGTTTCTTTATTAAATTCATTTTTTGTATTTAAAGTTAAAAATCCAAAATCGTATATTCTCGATATATTTATAGCTTTTTATATCGGGCTTCTGTAAATTACGTGAAGTACTTTATTTAATTTGGACTCCCTCTCCCTTGGTGAGATGATTTGAAACCCTCATGCATAAGATTTACCTTTATTTACTTATTTTATTAAGCCTCTCTCAAGGAATACGTCTTGGCGGGTTAGTTGCCACACTTAGCTAGGAAGATGCTGCTGCCCGTCTCCTCTTTTATCTCCCTCTGTCACCGCTTACGACTAGTGAAGGGTTGTAACAATGATGATGATGAATGCTTTTATTTTATATATTAGATTTCTTACCTTCGTATACCCAATCAGTGTGACCGTTGTAAACAACTCCCGGGACGCCGTCGTATGTAATCTGGATAGCTTCGCTAGAGTTCTCTGGCAGGTAATAAACGTTGTTGTCCAGTACATACGCCAATGAGTGGCCACCACCAAAAATACACAACTGAAGCCGCTGGTGGTTTGCAACGTATGTTACATTACTGAAAAAATATATGACGCAAACATATTATGACATATTGTTTTAACCAATTTCAGTTCATCAAAATTTTTAAGATTTTTCTAAACTATCTTTTTGGCGATAAACCTGCAAATCTTTGGTAGCCGAAATCCTATCACGTTTAGAAATATAGAAACATAAAAATACTTCATATATTTTAACGTCATGCTCCAATGAGCATTTCAATTGACACCATAAATGATTCTTTAGATATTTTCATAAATAAAAAATCAATAAATATACACTATTTAAAATCTAAAACAATTAAAAGTCTAAAACTAAGCTAATAATTTAATTTTGCCGGCTTACCCAGTTGCTATTTCATATAAAGTAAATCGTGCGGTTGTTGAATATCTGTATACCTAAAACAAAAGAACGGTATCGTTATTTTTTTAAATAATCTATTGAATTTTTACCTAAGCTTTAAGTGAGCAATTCTTGTAATATGTAATTGGTTTCTCAGAAACGGCTATTTTCCGATTTTATTTAGATAGGTGTCATGCCCGAGTGAAACTCGGTCGTCTGGGTACTTTTGTATTATTTAAACGATATAAAGTGCAATAAGTAGATTTAGATAAACGACTATAAAAAGATATCACTATCACTACATGTTTTACTACATTATGATAAAATTATATGACTATGAATTAGAATCTAAAAATGCTCGTTAATATTGTTCATCTAATATTATAACAAGTAATTAAAGTTAATACATCCAGTACTTAATAATTGTTTATTAAACTATGTATTTATTGAAAAATATTACTTACTGATTCAACTTCACTTGGAGCCAAGATGTATTGCCTATCTGCTGATAATATGGGGTTGCTTGTATTGAGGAAAGCCTGCAAAATAATATCGTATAATTGTACGGTTTAAACAGAATTATTAAAACAAATGTGAATCACGTTAACACGTATTTTTTTAACAATACCAGCACAATGTTTTTTATTAACACTAGATAACTGAAACCACTCCAATTAGGTAATTTTTTTTTTTTTAGTTTGTAATTGTTTGTGTTATGAATAGACCATCGCAGGAGTTGTCGAGTGGTGGGTAGAGACCTAAGTCTCTTCAGTTGCTATTAACTAATTCTACTGACACTTCGAAGGTATACAAGGAAAAATTAAATGTGTCCATGTCGAAAACAGATTATTACAGTTGTTTTCAGAATAATAATGTTCACCAACTATTTCATCGTAGCGGCACCGTAGAAATTGTTAAATGCAATTTTTTGTTATGATTAACTACATGCTCGGCAAAAATTTCTTCATCGTCACATCATATAATATAATAATAATAATATTCCACAACTATCACACAACGCCATCTAGTCCCAAGCTAAGCAGAGCTTGTGTTATGGGTACTAGACAACTGATAAACATACTTATATATTTCTAAATACATAAATATTATAGATAAATTACACCCATACACAGAACAAATGATCGTGCTCATCACACAAACATTTGTCCTGGGTGGGAATCGAACCCACGACCTGCGGCATAGCAGTCAGGGTCACTAACCACTAGACCAACAGGCCTGACTAATTCACCTGATTCACTATACGTATTAGAATAATACAACAAATTATTTATTATTTCTACAAACCATCAGTTCACCAGATACGAGAACACTACTGTTGAGGGTAGGCACGTCGAACACATATATACCGGGCTCCCCCGAAATCGTGTAAGTAAACTCCGTGTCTAGAACAATAATAATATACTTAGGAAAAGATACACAAAATTAAACATAATATAAGAAAAAAAAATCTTCTTTTTCTCTTTTTTATAGGAGAGGTGGCAAACGAGCATACAGTTCACCTGATGTCAAGTGATTACCACCGCCCATGAACAACTGCAACACCAGGGGAATTACAGGTGCGTTGCTGGCCTTTTACCATTTGTAAGGTGTCCGATGCCGTGCTGTGCTGTGGATGTCGTAAGAGACGACAAAGGGAAACTGTAATAGGAGATGCAGCTACTTCCTACTCCTTATAACAACTCCAAAATAATAATAAAAACTACGGTTGCCCATCCGTATGCTAATTTTAGTATGCTATGCTAATCGTAGCAACTATAGCAAATAATAAATAATAATGTCATCCAGACCGAATTTCGGTCATGACGGCCAGCCTCAACGGAGGCTAAGCATTAGCACAGGACAGGATTATAGTGCCTAAGTGTATGCGCAAGCATAGATGCACTCTCTATTACCTCACTCATTATCCGATGGGAAGGTAAACCGACACGACCGCAGAGATCAGGCGCAGGACCACCGGCTTTACGTGCTTTCCGAGGCACGGGAGTGAGACACCGCTTCCTGACTTCCTGACTTCGGGCAGTTACTGAGAATTTCTTGACGGAAAAACTCAATAATTAATTTTTTGACCCGACCCGGGATTCGAACCCAGGACCTCAGGATCCCCTAGATAGGAACACTAGACCAACGAGGCAGTCACTATAGCAAATAGCAAATATATCTCCTATGATCGTTTGAAGGATAAATTAATGAAAAAAATTCTACCATATCTTAGAGTCAGGTCCGGTTAAAATTACAGACAGTTAAGCTCCGATCCTAATGTTGGATTATTGCTTTTTTGTGAAAAACGAGTTAATAGTCCGTACGTTATCACTCAATAGTAAGAAGCTTTTGCAGCCTACACACATTTTCAAACAAAGAAGACCAAAGAGAATAATCTGATGAATGGTCTCTCAGACTACATTTTACTGACTTTCTCACTCTTCAAACCGAAACAAGACAGTGGGTGTACTTCTGCTTGGCAGCAGTAACGTAACGACCCAGTTTTTTCTTTCATTTATTTATCATATATATAAGCATTCAAATGTGTATGTAGAGTGATATACAGAATGGGTCCCACATTTATGCAATAAATGAAACCACAAGTAATACTAGTCCGTAGAAGTGTAGAAAATTGAATATTAACTTAAAACCCGTAAAATAAAAAAGTGAAATTTTCAAACAAAATAAATATTAAAATAAATTCAGTAAAAGTGAACACTCTGTTTAGACAACGTACCTTGACCCCTTGGAAGAGTGACAACGTTGCACGTGGGTGGCACGCCGACAAAAGACACCGCTGTCGATATGTCGCAATACCAATAGTTTGCACTGCGTGGCAACGTCGCTTTTTAATGTTCAAGGATTCAAGTTCATTGAATCATTGACTTAGTGACCCAATTCTATAGAGTGTTCAAATTTGCTTAAAATTAAAACTCTACTTTTTGACCTAATTACTGGACCGATTACGTTCATTTTTTGTATATCGTCAGCAAAGGCGATAACAAGTATATGGTTTCATTTATTGCATATATGTGGAACCCATTCTATATAAGCAGAAAAGGCAGATGATAGTCCTAAGCAAATCTAACACATTCGTTGCCTAAATTCTATAATTAACACTGATTCCGTTTACGTTTAACTCGATTCAGCAGTTTTTATAACAAATATAACAAAATGAAAACATTAACGGAGCTCCGGGACGCGGGTTCGAATCCCGTAGGGCAACATATGTTTGTATTGTATGTCCTACAAATAAATGTTCCGAGCCTGATTGAATGTGCAATTCATGTGCAATTCATGTATACCTATAGAAATTATACTGGGTGACCTTTTTTACCGTCTGGAAAAAATATGGTTTAACATCAGAACGAAGTAGAAGCCTATGGCACTGATATTTTACAAAAAATTAAAACAACAATTTTGAATTAAATTAATTAATTAATTAAAATCTATCGAAATTCAATTATATTCACCCTGCTTATCGAACAACAATAAAAAAAAATTATAGGTATCTCTGACCTTGTCACTTCGCAGGGTCACAGGCTAGGGTGGATATGATTTAAATTTAGATGGATTTTAAAAAATTTATTTATTTAATTCTAAAATTTTGTTTTTATTTTTTGTAAAATATCAGTGCCAGAGGCTTCTACACCGTTCACATGTTACACCCTATATTTTTCCTGATAGTAAAAAAGATCACACCAGTATATTACTAAAAGAAAATACAAAGTTACAAAATAATGATATAAATACCTGATATCCATGTTCCATTAAATCCCCTTTGTGCAAACTGCCCACTCACAAATTCTTCCAGGGTAAATGGGTTCTGCGCTGTTGTTACTCCCACTAACACCATCCATAATATATACCACGATCGCCGTGCCTTTAACAAAAAGTAGCTTCAATGGAATATTCAATTAGTTAATGAAATGATGCATGTAAAAATATATAATTTTACTTACCATTATAATTATAGTACTCTAAACAATCAATCGACAAGAAAGCAGCGGTCGACGGTTGTAATCCGCCAACAAAACTGTTCTCAAATCCTTTATCAACAAATTAGACCATTCTTATCCCAGTGATAAGTTCGTATCTTTAGATAATGATAATTGTAGAACTCTTAACGTAATGTAAATCGGTCGATATATATTAATTTTCGTCATCTTTCATATGGAAATCAACAATTTTATAATCATTTTAGCAAATAGAGTATCTTTGAATTTAGGTATATCAACCTTTTTAAAATGAAAATGGCCAAATTAGGAGTACCCTTAACTGACGAGCATGTATGCGTAGGTGTATGGATGTGAAGGAGGCGAGAGAGGTGTCAGGATCGTGCCAAATGGAAGTCTGTAGTCTCTGCCTACCCCTCTGGGTGACAGGCGTGAGTGTTTATGTTTATGTTTAAAATGAACACACATTATACAGGTTATACACATTAAACAATACAGGTTTATATATTTTGCAATAACCGGCCAAATTTACAGAGGGGGTTCAGAATAAGTAATATAGGGAAATGGTGATAAAAATTAATTTAAAAAATCTCAAACATATTATTCTTTTTGTCTTTTTAATTCAAAATACGTGGTAAATAGTAATGCATTATTTTAATAGATTTTACTGCGCGCACACACTTGTAAGGGTCGATCGGTAGGCAAAAATGTTGGTACCCATAAATCACATTCAATTTGAAATAATTTTAAATAAAAGTAGAAGCCTTATTTACTCATATTTTCAAAAACTGCAATAACGTTAGGTACATCATTATATATATATATATATATATATATATATATATATATATATATATATATATATATATATATATATATATATATATATATATATATATGAACTTAAGTTTAAAATTTGCCTACTCTTTGAAAATTAACCCTGTATTCATTTATTTTTATATACAACTAAAATGACTAACGTAATAACAGTAAGCCTGATGGTAAGTGGTTACATATTTCATGACTGCAGCCTGCAACTTCAAACAAGGAAGGCTACAGATGCGTTGTCACCCTTGAAGACTAAAATGTAATTCCTCACAGCCTGTAACTGGCTGTGTATACCAGTAGCAGCAGCAGTACAGCCACTGTTATTTGGCGGCAGATAGGTAAGAGTGTGGTAAATATCCCTTTCTGCCCAGGAGTCAAATCGAAATTTCCAAATTCGATTTGATGAAATTGCTTCCTCACTTTTCACCTCGGAGGTGAGGGTAAACATCGCGCGCAAACCTGCATATCTGGTAATGTATATATCTCATTGGTTTAGTGGTTGTTAGCGCGACTGCTGATCATGAGGTCCCAGATTTGTTTCCCGGGTCAAGCCAAGACCAGTTAGTTATTGAGTCTTTCTCTTAAGAAATTCTCAGTTGCCACACGGAGTCAGAAAGTTAGCGGTATTTCACCCCGTGCCTCGGAAAGCACGTAAAGTCGTTGATCCTGGGTCTTGGCTCTCTCTAGTCGTGTCGGATTTCTTAGTCATCAATTATGAGAAAAAGAGAATAAAGAGCGTGCCTGTGCTTGCGTACACACTCGTGTTATAGAATTCTGGGCTGCACATATTGCTAGTCTCTGTTGAGACTGGCCGCCGTCACGGAAAATAGATCTAGAGGACGTTACACAGATATCTGAGAAATCAAAATTATTTCACACGAGAAATCCAGCAACTCGGACTGTAGCAGCCAGAAATTCAAATGAACTGAAAGAAAAGTGATTACAGATATCTGAAGATATTTGAATCCATAAACGCACCGCAAACTGCGGGCAGAACTTCTCTCCCAAAATATTTGACGCCTCTCTACATATTTGAGGCCTTGATAGCGAACAAGAGGATGATCCTTTGCCTCTTCTACATAAACAAGGACTGGCTAAATGAAGTCATCCAACTATGATGGTACAGCTGCCCATAGAACCTCTCAATTTTGGTACCCACCGTTTGACAAAAAATGAGATTGACTTCATTATGACGACCAGACGCCAACTGTGTGATGTCGTCACAGTGATCGCGAGGGTGAAAACTGGCAGCGATCACCGAACGATTAGAGGCACAATGAACCTAAACGTTAAGTTAAAGAGGTCTCATTTTATGAAGTCAACGCTCTGTCCCCCTCGTGCTCTAATCCAGAGTCCCAAAAACTTTTAACTCGAGTTACAAAACCGTTTTCAGTGCTTGGAAGACTGCAATACAGTGGACGATATGAATGACAAGCTCGTGGAAACTGTCCATGCTGTCGGAGCTAAGTTCGCAGAAGAACAAAAAAACTCTCCAATCACACTCTAAATCTCATGGATGTTAGACGAGCGATGAAGCTGTAGTCGGCAGCAGATTTAACAGCATACTGGCAACTGAACAGACAGATCTCCAAATGCATGCGGCAGGACTTACGTAACTTCAATACAGCTCGTATTGAAGAAGCGATTGAGCGAAACCAGCGCTCCAGTCTTTGCCAGAGATCTGGCTGCCAGTCAGAGCCAACTGTAAAAACTGAAGACTGAGTTTGGCAGCATCGTTTCCGGGACACCTGACTTTCTGAGTGAGATTGAGAGGTTCTATGGGCAGCTGCAAACATCATCGTTGGAGCCACACGCAAGTGTGAGTAACGATCCAAGAGCAAGTCTTATCCGTCACTGTTCCGATGATATCCCGGACTTCAGTCTGAGCGAGATTAGAATGGCTCTCCAGAACCTTAAAAACGACAAGTCCCCGGGCGAGGATGAAATTACAGCGGGGCTTCTGAAAGCGAGTAGAAAACCAGTACTTGAAGTCCCTCAGAAGCTCTTTAATTCCGTCCTCCATGGAGGCACTAGCACTACTACCGAGGCGTGGAGCTGAAGTGCGGTAGTCTTGTTCTTCAAGAAAGGTGACAACGCCCTCTTGAAGAACTACAGACCGATATTCCTTCTGAGCCGCGTCCACGTGCTGTTTTCGAGAGTCATTACGATTCGTCTCGCACGCAGACTCGACGACTATAACTCAGCTGAACAGCGGTCTGGAAATTACGACACTTCTTCTCGTCAGGTATACCTCAAAACTTGAAACTAAATTTTACAACCAGTGCGTGTTGTCAGTGTGCTCGTTTGTCACCCTATCCTATAAAAAGAAAAGGTCATATGTAACGTCCATGTCACACCTATGCCGATAGTTATTGGGAGCACTAAGCTCGAAGTTGTTGACGAGTATGTTTACCTAGACAAATAGTCCGACTAGGTAAGTCCGACTTCGACCGAGATGTCAATCGACGGGCTCAACTCGGTTGGGCAGCGTTCGTATTTCGACGTTCGTAAATTACGACGCATTTTCTCTTCAGGTATACCTCAAAACCTTTACTGCTGGCCGTATGAGGACGTTCAAGGTCGCTCAGCGAGCTATGGAGGGCTATGCTCGGGGTTTCTCTGCGTGATAAACTTAGAAATGAAGATATCCGTAGTAGAAATAGAGTGACCGTTATAGCCCACCGGGTAAGTCGAAAATATTGCCCGTAGGGGCCGGCCATATAGCTCAAAGAGCCGACAATCGTGGAGAATAAAGTTTCTCGAGTGGCAGCCTCGTACCGGTAGATGGAGTGACGACCTAGTAGATGCAGAAAGTCGATGAATGGAGGTGGTTCATGACCATGCTTTGTGACATTCTTTGGAGTAGACCCATGTTCAGCAGTAGACTTGTGTAGTAAGGCTATAATGAAGACGATGGTAACGAAGTGAACCTCCACCTATATTTTCTAAATCGAGTCTCAAGGATTGGGACTAGCGTAGAAAAATGATTATAGTCTAGTATAATCTCCTCGAATCATTCCGACTCGCTAACGGGCACATGCCTCCTCAGAATGTAGGCCTGTGTCCAGCAGTGAGACGTATCTTTATGGATTGTAACTTTACATCAGAGATTCTGCAGAAGGAATGCTGTCACATTAATTGGTATCCGGAAAATTCGTTGTTTTCATTAATAACTTACATACCATTACACTCATGACTTTCTTTGCATTTCAAGTAAAGTTAATACGAAAAACCCAACTCCTCGAAGTGGCGGTGATAACTCCCCTTTCCCATTATTAAACTATAGTGCCTATAAAATACGCAATACATTGCAATGCCTTTCCACTGGCATGCATAAATATCAGTTATCACTGACCACGGTACTGATAATGCTGCTCTCCATCACGAGACTAGACTTTGGTTTCTATATTTTAATGAATTTTTCCGCCATCGATACGAGGTGTCAATGTTTTCTCGGTATGGGTAAGTTAGAAAAAGGGAAAATTACAGAATAATTTTTATTTTTCAATATAGTCTAGTTTTTTTTCGTTAAAAAGTTTTCTATCCCCTTGAAAAAATATTCTTCATCTTGGCCTAAAAATGCTCATTTACAGCGGACCTGAGCTCATTATCGTCAGCAAATCGCTTTCAAAGTAGTCACTAGGGGCTAGATCTGGGCTGTACGCCTGTATGGTGGGTGGTTAATTTCCTCAAGCCCCGCAGTCTCGTACAGCAGTATTAGAGAGCTGGGGCGTTGTCATGAAGAAGCACTCCTTTAGTTAGCTTTCCTCCTCTCTTTTCTTTTATTGCTTCTCTCAAACGGCTGAGTATTTGTCTGCGTTGATGGTTTCATCTTTTTTTTTATTTACTTGATCAATAGTATTCCATTGGAACCCCAAAACACTGTGACCATGATTTTAACGGCCGATGGAGTGACTTTAAACTTATGCCATTGCATAGACTCCTGTTTACTCTCAGGGTCAGTGGTGAACCTACGTTTCATCTCCTGTAACTATCCTATCAAAAACTCTTGCTGGGTCGTCATCACACAGCTCTAAAAACTCCCTACAACAGTCAACCCCCGCCTGCTTTTGAAGCGCAGTGAGAGCATTCGCACCACCCATCTTGCACTGACTTGTGAGATTGATATAGTCATGCAATATGGTATGATACGGTTGCGCGCCTAAGTTGACGTCATGTAG